TTAGTTGAAGACCTAGCAGATCGATATTTTCCGCTCCAGATTGTGCTGTCTGGGTGGGCCCCATGTGTTATAGACAACGAAAATACGCTTGAAACAATGACTCCCTCTGCTTGCTCATTAAGGATGGCTTAGAGCTTTTTTGTGGACAGGAAAAATAAAGCGTACCTCAGAAGGGTCGCGCATCAATTACGCAGGATGGCTGGAGCAGGGCACAGCAAACCCAGAAATTGATGTCAAATCGATTACAGTCTCCATTACCGTTTAATGAAGAGAGTGTTCGATCTTTTCATTATATCCGCGCCCACACTCGGGCTCATGTCTATTACTTTCTAATCAATGCAAGTTTTATAAAATAATTCACTTGCCGTCTTTAATCAACAAGAATGACGTCTGAGCTCGAAGATCAGCAGACCCACTAGTATTTATGATTATAAAAATTGGAGAACATACACACTCATTCACAACTCATGGATGAGCAACTTCAATGTCATTTTGTCACATGGAAATTATCATGTGAGATAAACTCTCAGAAAATGAAATTCAAAGCAACAATAAAGTAATGAATCGTTGCCATCTAACAAGAGGAAAGGGGTACGATGTAATAATCCTACACTATTCATAACAAGGAGTTATGAGCGTCTAAGGTTAGCCTTAAACACAAAATTAGACATAATTAAAGTGGACAGCATTGATAGTTCAGCGAAAGTCACGCGTTTAGAGATCGTTTAAGTACAATGAGAGTTATCCTGAAATGAGAGAAACAAACTGAGACATTGACCCGCTCGACAAGAAGATTGGTCAGGTAAAGAAGGGCAGGCGCAACGAACAGTATGGAACCCAGTGATACAAATCCACAAGATATCGCCTTAAATGTTCTGTTCGCACGTAATGGCTAATTAATAGCGGACTATAGGCTAACTTAACAGTGGCCACGTGCATCATGAAGTAGACTGTCATTAGTTAGTCGAAGATGACATCACAGCCGAACGACGATTTTGAGCCGCTTGACGGTATTCAGACACCAAAACAACAAAGTGCCTTTCCAGTACCTGAAGAAATAGGTAAAAACATATTCGCACAACAGTTCGGAAATCTCACGATGCACTTCCGAGAGAGAGAGCTCCAGGGTATGGCAGCTTGTTCAACAGACACTACGACATATAGGTGCTAACAATCAGCTGACAGCTACCAATCCTTCGGATTTCGTATCTAATGATGAAAATCCCTTGAGGTTTTATATTACCTCTCGTTGCCCAAATTCCTTTCCAAGCCATTGTCGATTGTCATTGTCAGTGCCGAACATTCCTCGTAGGAACAAACAAACATAGTGGCATTACCTTTTGACGGCCCTCATTGGCATGCCATTAGGCCAGATTTTGTGGCTTGGGGGCAACAGGGTGTATGTCGTTTTGCGCTGCCCTTCGCAGCCACTTTGCCATTGGGGCGCATGGGCTTCAACTGCCACCCATACAACGTAATTGCTGCGTCAACAAACTCGTACATATTAGTCAGCCTCTCGATTTGCCATCAACTATCGAATTAATTAGAGTTTCTTTGCACATAGGTGCGAAGCGACCCTGACTATGGAGTGAAGACTCAGGGGTCATCAAGCTTTTCATTCATCCTCATTAATCCATAAGTGAGGAAGGAAATTTATAGTAAAGAGTTTCAAGAGTTATCAGTTCCATCCATTTATGCAAATTATATCAGTAATATACATTCTGGAAGTCATATCTATAATTCAAACTCATTCAGATTCATAGAACACAACTTGAAAAATCTTGAGAGGTGTCAGTTATCACTGCATAGCGGGATTTCGGATTAGCTGGCTTCCTGAACTTATCCTTGCGAAACGCCAAACACACTCACTTTCTTCCTCTCTATTTGTACTCAGCGTTTCTTACTGTCTCCATATTCTTGTGAAGCCATCCTTCTCTAGCCAGAAGTTGGGCAGTTATAGAATCCGCTACGACTTTGGTTCCATTTACAACGTAATGGCTATGAAATCAAAATTGGGGAAGGAGATTTATGATCATTCGATGGGTGTGTTCCGTCCCGAACACCACTCCAATATTTTAAGGTTTAAGTAATCATCTGAATGCGTGTTAACCTTCTAGAGGAATGGTGAGATGTAAATTTAACCACTACACCTTCACCTATGCACGATAATAACTTCTAAAACCAATGACCTAATGATTTTATTTCTTCTCGAACTATTATTACATACAATTTTTACAATTCCTTCACCTCCAACTAGATTGATGGGATGTTTGGGAGTTTAATGACTCCTACGTCTTCACACTTAATCAGGTTCGTCTCGTCCTGGCTGCGAAACCAGCTCTAATTAGGACGACAGCTGATCGTAACTCGAGAGGCTGGCCGATTTGGACGAGTTGGTTAACCAAGAAATTGCGTTGTATGGGTGGCAATTGAAGCCCATGCGCCCAATGGCAAAGTGGCTGCGAAGGGCCGCGCCAAACGACCGCCTCCCGGGGCAACACATCCCGAATGCACTTTGCGAATGGTGAATAGAAAGATGTCTTACGTCTTCATAATGTTTTAGCTCATGCCATCAAGAGGTTAACTGTCGAAGCCTAACGTCGACGTATGCCACGCCAAGCGACTGGATTCTCTCTTGCGCTATACACCCACATGCGCCGTAACAGAGAACCGAACACGCACGTAGTACATGAGTTTTTACACCCCTATTGTTGCTATTATCGCGCCGGAAAGTCGTCACAGGAGAGACCGTAACTGAAGATAAACCGCATGCTTAGTTGAGGTTCCTTCGCACTGAAGCGAGTGAGCGCTCGTAAAATTCGAAGTTCATTTTTTTTCAAGTTTCATTTCTCAAATTAAAAAGAGAATATGGAGAAGATAACAATGAAAGGAAAACGAAATATTAAAAATAAACAGAACGTTTTATAAAATTTAGCATTCTCGGAACACCAAATTTTGTGATATGCATATTAAGGCGTTTTCGGCGATGTCAATGTTGAATGAAGTCCATGCTGTCTCGTGGAACAAAGTCATGAAATCTTGATCAACTTTACCGCTTATTGAACATGGAAACGCGTTTTTTCATGTATTATTTCATAAGCTTGCTTTACTAAGTTTGGCGAACAATAATCCACGTACATAAAGATTTATATTGAGTTGTGACGTGTCGGCGCAATAGAATATAAGAAGTTCAGTAAAATCTCAAGGTTTTAATTGCAAGCAGTTTCTCCGATTGTCCGGTGGGCAGTCGGACATTCGTAAAAAGATTTAAAAAAAACAAATAGCTTCACTATTTCTACATGGTTCCATGAACAATGCTTTTGATGACTGTGGTATTCGTCTGTGTGGCAACCATCTTCATCAACATTTCGCGACTAAAACCTACTGGGAATTCAGAGGGGCATGGCAGCCTCTTACACCCACTTACTCAGGCAGCTTATCGAAATCCATCTGTATATTAGGTCATTTCGCTATCGCCACCTTCATAGGCCTCTTATTCAGATCAATCGCTGAAGAGAATCGCGTTTCAGCAGTCATTCGTCAAAACATTGTCCAAGAAAGCAAAATCATCGACAGTAGTATTTATATCAGGTATGAGAATGAAGACTGCGATTCAGCCACGTCCACAATCTACTACAAATTTGAAGCCGTCCATGCAGTTCTTGCTCACTTTCCGTTCTTGCTCGCGCACTATTGCGGGGATAGCCTTCTTTTTACTACTCCACATACAACTTTTTAGAACACAAAAAATAACACGCCCAATTCAAATGTTCCAGACTAGGAGATAACGAAAATTTTGAGAGATCTACTCAAAACTGAATTGATCAAAACTTTTCATACTATTCCTAGAAGTTTCTTCTCGCTTTTGCTAGTGATAGCCGAATCACTCTTCAAACAAGAAATTGAGTTTGGAGTCTTCCCGACAGCCACTGGTGACCGACGACTGCTCAACGTAAATAGCGTGTTCATTCGCTTGGACGTCCATACAAAAAAGGTACTACTGTCATAATGTAATACGTAGACGACGCTTTCGGTGACCAACAGCACTCCAGATCAGCCAGACGGTGAAAACCCATGTTTTTTTGCTTCAAGTTTCATATCTACTTATTGATTCACTAAATTTAGCGACCACCTCTGATTCATTGAAACAAACAACTAGGTATCAAGCAAGAGAAGAGTCATCGAAGCACTACTAGAAGACTAATGTGATTCAAATCATTTACCAAAGTCAACAATTATGAACACCTTGGGAACATACAAGGCAGTAAAACTAAACGCATCTATCGCACCCTGTTTTGGTTTCCTTTGCCATGTCTCTAGCCGCTGATCGCAATGTGTCCTGGATACAAGGCTGCACCATTCATTCATTCACAACGCGACTATCTTTGGACATCATTTAAACGTTAGAAACAAGATTTCTTTTAAATGACGGCCTGTTTGCACGGCTGGTGCTGTGGTGACACAAATTCGAGCATCAACAACTGATTCCTCGGAGAAATGCTGTTAATTGTTTTTGAACTTCCTCACAGTAAAGGAAACAAGCACTGACCAACTTGTTTGGGTGATCATACGTTGAAATAGTCTGATGTACAGTTTCCATGTCATTCTCACATAGAGTTGTGAGCGTCCATGTAGTCACCAAGATTCACAAACCCTTTCACCACGTTGTAGTCTGAAACGACATTAGGTTTTCCACCAAGCTCGCAACTTGCATCATATTTTGTTGCAAGCATATGGACAGTTCTTCCCTCCCCTGCTGAATCAGCACTACTGATTCTGTTGATAGGAGAGTTCACTACGTTTCAGCTTTTCAAGTCCTAGTGCTTAAGGTAGGCTTTCCTTCCTCACCTCAAGAACCCACCCATAATTTCCACCACAATAATTCAACCACTGTTCCCGTTTTCTTCGGATCTTTTTTTGGTGTAGACCCTCACTTTCAGCGTGAAGAGTGCTACGGAACGTATCTTTAACAGCTTGACCTAAAACATGCGTCTTTTGCGTCACTGCCCAGAGGCTGGCCCGCGGAACGGCACCATAGACTCAACAATGCGCAGCTCCATCTCCGGTTTGTACATCACTTGAAAGTTAGCTTTCGAGCAGTACAAGACAGACTGAATTTCAATTTTGTACAGCTTCCGACCATTGTCTGCGTTGCTATCATCAGCAAAATGAACGTGTCGCTTAGGTTGTTCGAACTGATCTTTCGCCATAATATCTTCGGTTACAGGGTGCCTATTGCATGCTGAACTTCCAGGCTTTAGTGATCAGTAGGTACTCTGGTGTCTAAGGCGACAGCGCGACATTGGCTGCTTTCATAGTCCGCCGGCCGGCTGGCGTGCCACGAGGCAGTGCTAGGGAGGAGGGAGGCAGACGGCCGGTCGAAGGGCTGTAAAAAAGGAGAGGCAAGATCAAAAACAAAACAACCAGGGGCTTGAACAAATGGTTTTTGATCTTATCTCTCCTTGTTTACAGCCCTTCGAGGGGCTGACCGACCGTCTGCCGCCCTCCTCCCCCGGCGGATTATGAAAGCAGCCATTCGCACGAAGAGTCCATAAGCTCTTTTCAGTTCCTTAATTTCTGTCTTCTCCCACGAGCAATTCACCTAATGACCGCAAATATACGTTTGTGCAGTGAGCATTTGAAACAGATCCTCAGAAAAAAAGGTTGGTAAGACTAAGACGACAAGGATTCCACAACATTAAGTACTGCTGTCGACTCGCTGAAAACCTATATATCATTCGAATGTGCACCATCGGCCTAGATAATATGACCACCTTTTTCGCTATTGCCGTCGCCTTCGTCAATATCTGCTAAATCAGGACCTTCTTGATACCGCACAACTGTGGGAACAAAACGGTGTTCTTGCTCAAGTTCACACAAGACTTCGGCGTCGCTTTCGAGCTGTGAATCGTCAATTCATCTGTTCAGGATATGAGTGTCATCGGCAATAGAACCCATTTTGACAAAATAATACTACTCCGGAAGTTTCTGAGATCAGAACTATCTACGACCAATTCGAACTCAACCCTTCAATTAGTGCCTTTGTTCTACTCTTAATCGCGCCGAGCGCTTTGATAGTGCTTCTATGGCTGTTCACTTCTCAAGGTATCGTACACCAAAATGGTCTCATGTACGCCAGTATTTTGGAAGAACTGCTTGAACCTTAGCACAAAGCAATTTTCCTGTTCCAACAGATCTCTACTTGTTCTGCACACATAATAATTGTTTCTTCATAAATGCAACAAACCAAATATAGAAACCGTCCCGTTGAACGAGGTAGATCAATGGTCACTGACGCGTATTCAAACTGTCACGTCCCGTGGGCGTGCAAACGAAAAACGCTTTCAACTTGTTAAGAGGTTATGCAGTGTATACGTTTGGTTCTGCGGAAATTCCTTAACTACAACGCCGGTTCCCCTCAAAACCTGCTCGAAGAGGGCCGGTGTTGTTACCGTGGCGGCAGCGCGACTTGCGGCTACCATCGAATAACTCTTTTTGATGGTTGAGAAGTCAGAAACTTTTCAAAAGAGAAGAGAACCAGACAGAAATGCAGTGCGTCTCCAAATGATACAGCCACTTCTGATTTTCTTCAAAAATAGTATACGATGTTTCTGAAAAAGTGGCAAAGTAGAAAAATGTGTCAAATCTGAATTGCAACTACATTGCAACTACAGCAACAGAAAACAAATATTTTTCTAGTCAATTTCCCTGTAAAGGGTGCCTCTTCAACGTCTCCAAGTGATATAACCACTAAAAAAATAATTTATCTAACAACAAACATACAACAAGGAGAGAAAGTTGCAAAGTCAGTAATCAGTTGGTCCAACATTCCTTCGGATTACTTCGAAAATACAGTAGTCTAGGCTAAAATGAAGACTATCAATCAGCTCCTGGTCAACTTGGTGCCATGCTTCGATGATAGTTTTTTCAACTCATTGACGCCTCGAAACTGCTTGTTTTAGGCGTAAATCTTCCGCACCATGAAGCCCCATACATTTTCTATCGAATTCAAAACGGGGCTGTTCGCCGGCCAGGGCAGAAGTGCAATCCGATGCCGAGAGAACCAAGCCTGGGTGCTCCTGCTGACGTGAATTGGGGCGTTATCTTGCATAAAAACAAGATCCGGTGTCGATTCTGACGCTGGAAAGGGAGAAGTGCACGGCGCATAACAGTCAGATAAAGGGACGAGTTCACCTTCCTTGGTACAAAACATCGGTAAAATCGCGGCCCAAATCATGGCTTCTCCTCCCTTGAAGTTCCGTCCGGAAAATTGAAGTTTTTCCTTCTGCAGGTCGTGCCAATAAAATCGGTTCCCGTCTGGACCATCACAATTGAACTTTTTTATAGTAAAAAACGACCTGAAGAACAAAAAACATCAAGAGAAGGAAATCGAATGTCAGCACATGAAGAACACCTTATTCCACCCTGTTCGACTGTACCTTCCTGCGAAAGCCACCCGATTTACTCGATATCTTTTTGTCATGAAGGGCGCCTTACGCACATTCCGCTTGAGGATGAATTTGGGCTTTCCGATCACTTCCGAACAGTGTTTTTGATACTTCGAAATTTAGAGACGATTGGATTTCCATACAGGACTTGGTGGAGTTCGACGCTACCCTCAAAATATGGCGCTTGTCTCTGTCGGACGTCCAGCACTTCTTGTTATTCCATAGGCTTCAGAATCCTTGATGAAATTACCCACAAGTGCGTGACCTCGATCCAAATCTCGCATGATTCTGAGTCCCTATCCTTTTTTCGCGAGGATTTGAGCTTTCTCGAACTCCGAAAGCAACGTTCCTCTTCCCATTGCCTGAAAATGAAGAACATTACCTAAACAAAGCAATTTCGTTGCGTTAAGCTGAAACACGACACGAAGACATGAAGTGTTTGTATCATTTGGAGTAGTTGGAAAAGCATCCCTTACTGAAAAATTGACGAAGAGAAATGTCTCGAGCTGGAAATTGGCGATGATGTGCGAATGGCAATTCAAATTTGACGCATTTTTTACCTCGGCACTTTTCCAGAAACATCGTCTAGTACAACTTTTTGGGGAACCTAGGGGTGGCTGTATCATTAGGAGACGCACTGTAGCTCTGTCTTCGCTTTAGTTTCTATGGGGATTTTTACTTCTTGTGATGTTACACTAATAAATACTATTTTACCATCCTATTAGCTCTCTTTCGATTAAGACACCTGCATCAAATCCTCTAAACTGTGAAGGAAAAAGCCTGACACCCGAACAGAATATTAACAGCTTGGCCTGTCCACTAATTTAGAGTGAATTTCTGATTGTCGACCAGAATAAATATGCTATAGCCATGTTTTGTCTTGGACATAATCTCATGATCATCGACTCAACAAAACATTCGAAGTGTATAACCGTTTATTCATCAATCACCAATCCCAACCCCTGATATGTGTTCTGTCTGTTATTGTTGGTTGTATCAGTAGTAACAGTTTATCTACAGGCAAAAAAAGCTTGGGAAATTATAAATTCAAGTCTGACATGACCTCTTACGGTGACAGCCAAAAATATAAGCTTAGTGCGGAGAGCCATCACTTCCTTTTGAGTTCAGAGTATCGAAGCAGGAATCCAGATGAGTTCTGCAATTTTGCTTGACAAAAGCGCGACTTTTAATTGCGTAATCTCAAAATGCAGCTAAAGATAGAAAAAGGAGTAGAGTACCAACTACGATACAACATATAAGCACAACATTTATAACACTGCGATTATCAGCAAGATCAAGAATCCACTCCACTGTTTAATTTTCCCTGAACGTTTTTTTGTAAACGTTCCATTCTTTGTTAACGTTTTCCTTTTTTCCCGGAGATTCTCAATTCAGAAAAAGTGATTGAGGTCAAACAAGGGAAGTGAAGCCAGATCTTTAAACGCGGCAGGTTGGCAGAGCTAAGATGGAAGGCACGATTCACGATAAAAATGGTTACTGAGTTCTCCTCCTAGGAATACTCAGTAGCCCCAAGGGTAATAGGAAGGACCCGCTCGCACCCGAAAACTTGACGATTAGGGCATAGTAAAAGTCGTACTCCCGGCACGCGCGGCCTTCCCGCTCTTGATCGATGTCATGTCAAACGCGCGTCGAGGCGATACAGATTGCAATTATTCGTTCTAAGACCCATATACAAACAGCTGACGCCGAGTGATGAAGCGATGTTGTTCTCCCAATCTTTCATTCTTTGTTATTCTTTTTGTTGCTGCGATCCTTATCCTAATTTCCTACCCCAAGAGACTGAAGAAGGTGAGCTACTTCTGCTGTTACTGGGTTTTTTTTGTTTACTTATGCTTATAAGTGAGTGATTCTTTGCTTGCCGTAGTCAGTTATTTGCATCAGGACCCACATGTACGCAATTAGCCACATTGTATAGCTCGTCCAAGCGCGCCACTCTTCTTCATTCTTCTGGTCTCACTCTCGACCACCCCTCACTCTCGTCCACCCCTATTTTTAACGATTTTTCGAAGCTTTTTTAATCTCGGAAACACCGATTCACGCAGTTCCTCCGCCTTCATCGCGGTACTTTCCATCTTATCTTCCATTTTTCGCCTTAACTTGGATTATCCAAAATTACCGTGAGCTGTGCCTTTGATATTCATAACTCTGTTCGAAAACGTTATGGAATTTCATTAGAAAAGTGGTTGCAGGCTAGCGAAAAGGGAGTGACCAACCGCTAATTGTAGGCGAACAGTGCGTCGAGGTGGCCGGAGCTCAGAGCTAATAATCACAACTACATATTCGCAAACCTTCTTGGGTCCGAAAAACGGATAGAAAGGACTGATCACCTAGGAGGAACTCATTAGAATGGATGAATACGAATTCCATGACGAAGAGACTGATTAAACCTTTTTGACAAACGCCACAAGGCCTTCATATAAAATCATTTGGTCTCTGAATGCGTGGGTGACGTAATTAACTACTGCCACTGGATGGTTGACCTTCAGATGTTTTCCCGACTTCTATTATGGTGTCCGAAAAGTTTTGAGTAAATTCAGCCGGTTTTTGCAACACAAAATAACTACAGCAACAAACTTACCAGGGAAGGATCCCAAGTCGAAGTGGCCATTTGAAATGAGACCTACACTGCTGGACGTGTTTTTGGATGTTGAGTTCAAATCTGCTTTTCAACTTTGCCGAGCGTTTTTCTGAGCGGAGTTATGAGGATGGTTTCGGGGAGCTAAACATGAGGAAACTCAAATTACATGGATGTACCTCTTTTTCCGACGGCGG